AGAACCGCCGCTGCTTGAACTCAGCGCAACGATGAAGCTGCTGCTACTCGAGCTTAATGGAACTGGTGAGCTGCTGCAACAACGGAGCTGCTGCTATCTGAACTGAGAGTGACAATGTGGCTGCTGCCACTCGAATTCAATGCAACATCAATAAAAGGCAATTTTAAAACTGGCGTTCTCCCGTTATGGACTCAACGAGTCCAATAGCTCTTATTTTTGTATGCATGGTACGTTGGCTAGAGTTCTGTAGATGCCTCTACTGTTTAATGCTGGGAAAATTACTTCCAGTCGGTTTAATCTACTCTGGCATTTCTTTAAAAGTAGTAAAGTTAAGAAATCATTAAACTGCATGTTTTGACCAAGTGAAGATTAGTCATATGCCCCTATTCCTAATTACCCGACCGGATCAAGATTAGGTACGTAATATTACTGCCGGTCAGGGTGGTATAGGAAACGTAGGAATTTTAAATGTTTTCTGGTGACACAACACTCCCCATATTTAACCTTTAACAGCGACTTCCGTAAACTTGGAGTAGTTGGATAGCACCATGTGATTTGTTCTGCATAATTTCTGGTTCTTGATTGACACTTAAATTTGAACAAGATATGAGCCTTTTTTTAATGAAAAGATCAGCGATTCCTGTTGCCAGCGTGTTGACGTTTCTTCATGGTGCTTATTGAAAAATGCTGATACATTTAAAATCCTCGTTTAAAATAAATCACGATCTTAAAAAAAAAAAAAAGAAGAATGAAAGCAAATGATGTTGCGCGACATCTTCTGATAAACAATGGTATGCTTCAATTAATTTGTAAACTCTGTAGACACTAATCTGAGTAAGTGATGATAAACTTTAGCTTTATAGGGGCATAATAATTCTTTGAAACAACGTAACGCTATTGACTAACTATTTAAAACATAGTGTGTTTTAAAATTATCTAGTAAATATTATTTTGAAGTTTTGATATGCCCTAAAAGTGTTAATGAATGGCGGATTTTGTTTTATAACCATACAGTTTTAGAATTTGAAGAAACTCAACTCGAGCCGGCGCAATTTTCTGGCCGTTAATTCTAGTAAACAGATATTTAAGCAAGCTGAATCTATTACGCGGTCTCGTACATGCATGAGTACCGGTAAACCCGACACAATTGCAACTAACTCCGTTATATTTTGTCAAGGCCAGCTTGTGATTGCAACAAAATAATTCATGTCCGCCAATGAAACTTCGCTACTATGTTTCTTGTTTCTGAAATTCTCTTTATTTCAGACTCCTTTTGGGGACTACTCTTCGAACTTAACAGCCTTTTAAAACCGAGGCTTGGTGGGTGACAAGAAATTGAGCAGGACTGCGTGAAAAATTATGAGCAACGTGAAGACGCGACAGTGTTGTTTCCGCTTTCTGACCGCTGCATTTCTTGATTGAGTCCTCAAGTGCAACGGTCAACATGAAAATTTCCTCGGTAAATCGTTGCTGGGACGAGATAAATTCAAGATGCCTTTCAACTCACAAGGAAAATAATATAATTAACTTACCTTTGGATGTAAAAAGGATCACGGTTAACAGGAACCAAAGAAACCACATAACCCTGCTACCATATATCTTTAAGTTGTATTAGGTGATTTATGCTATCCGTAGCTTAACTTTTATTACTCATGCGTTCAACTTATGCCTCGAAACGCATAATTCAGAAGGGACCAGAGTCTTTTTATTCGGTTTCGTATGTAGCTGAGGTTCCTTCCCTCTCGTGTCAACTCCTCACTGTTTGTACAAAAATCTTAACACAAGAGCAGAGTTACTTCCAAATTCTTTGTATGAATAAAAATCGTGATATCAATTCTTTTTCTGCTAATAAAATTAAGGGCCAGCTCAGTGCGTTGCACACAACTTATTTATTGAAATTAAAATGCTAATGAAGACTCTTAAGAACAGTTGTTGCATCACTCGTACGTGCCCAAACAGGTCACGACTTACGTGGATATCAGACCCACGTTTGAATGTAGGCGATGTTAGACTGTACAGCTTTCTAACTTAGAAATGAAACAAAAGATAGTCCACTAAAAGTATTTGCAATTTTCATTCGTGAAATTTCAGAACCATAGTATACATGGTACAGATCTTTTTTTGAAAAAACTAGTACTTCGTTGTTATTAAACGAGTTGTCTAATAGACCAGTTAATTATGTTTGGCGAGTATCTCAGTATATAAAGAACCAAGTCAATCAGTGTCGTTATTGAAAATCGGGGGAAGGCATAATTGCTTCTGTACATAAATGCTACCTAGGAAGAGTTTTGCAGGGTAACCAGCTCCAACAAGGCAGAAGATTTTAAAACTTGATCAGCGGTTTAGGGGCCTAAATATAAAGAGTGTCTGGTGAGATCAATAAAACATCAACATTGTGTCAATGACTTTTTTTTTTGTTTAGATACTTAGAGATAGCTTTATTAGGAAGTAAAATCATTCCAGCCCCCGGGCCGGCTGAAATACGACTTACTTTACAATGGGAATAAATTATCTCTTACTCTAACATAACTACAATAAAAGCCGCAAAGTGTAATCTACAATAAAATACAATAAGAGAAGTATCAAAAACCAAAATACAAATAATTAAGATAGCTACTAACAATTAAAACTGTTCCGGCGCCATGATAAATAATTTAATGTGTTTTTGACTCACTCCCAAGAGTTACATCTAACCAAGTTTTTGTAAAAATGTCATTGCATTTCAAGTGGAAAGGTGCTAGCAAGAAAGGGGAAATAAACTGAAGGATATCGTAAGAAAAGTGGAAAGAATTGGTGTTTATCTTGAGGGTAAGCGGATTAGGCAGTGAGCAGGGTCTCGTATACCACTAAAGCTTCAAAGAAATAACTGGGAAGAAAAGTACTAGTTGGATTGCAAAAGTTAGATTAAAAAAGCTTGCTCTCTTATTCCCAGGAAAATTCTCGATCTGAGCGCGCACTGCTTTAAAGCAAGTAACCGCTTAACACTTGTGCAAGGAGCCTAAGAATAGCTTTATATACATAATTTTTCCATATTATTTATAGCTCAAAACGTCACCGTTGAAGGTTTACCTACCCCACTTGCAATCAAAAACTGAAAAGTTTCTTGCTTTCTGTATCCTGTTGAGTCTGGTACTTCAGATAGGTGTGGCATACGAGCTGCCTCATTTTCCTCCAAACCTAGGTGGATATTGAAAGTATACCATAAATTGATATGATAAAGTGACACACCTGCAATCTTTCTTCATCACTTCTGCACAATTATCGTGTTTTGTAGGATGTATTTCGTTTGGTAAAGACGCAGAAAAATAAAATAATTTCAAAGATTTGCCCCCAACTCCAAGACGTATTTTCACAATATAAACAATACCCCAACATTTTCTTTTAGAAAAGCACACGTTCTGTTCACATTTATAGTTGTAAGAGCCGCGAGTATTAAGAGTTTTGTGAAACTCGTCTGTGCTTTTAAACAAGTCATTAAGTCAATTACCTTCACATTCGTAGTCATCTTTCTTCGGTTCAAAACCCTTTTCACACCAACGCTTTTGCCTTCCTGAAGTATTCGGGAAAATCTGACCGCAATGATCGAGTTTTTAGCCGGATCGCATTCATCGATGTCTACAGACAGAAATCTTTACAAAGATAAAAGTGAACTGAAAAATAATAGAACTTTGAAAAATTAAAACAAAGTTTTGATACCAGTTGATGTAAACTACAAACAGCATTAATGTATGAGCTGTTCCAAAGGGAAACACATGACCGTAAAGCAGGCACGTTTGTATATTATTGGGGTTGGGTTGGCGTAGTGGTGAGAGCGCTCACCTTCCACCAATGTATCCCGGGTTCGATTCCCGGACCCGGCGTCATAAGTGGATTGAGTTTGTTGCTTCTCTACTCCAAGAGGTTTTTCTCCGGGTACTCCAGTTGTCCCCTCTCCTCAGAAACCGTCATCATTTGAATTTATTTAATTCATAGTTTATTTGAATTTATACACGACCCCACAAGCTGTTCAGCTTTAAACATTATCGTGTCTAAATAAAGGTGTTATTATTATTGTTAGACATTCCACGGCCAAGAAATTATGAGGTTATGTTGTTGGATCTGAGTACGAGTTAAGCTTGTACATGTACATATAATTTTGGAATCTTACGAAATCAATGTGAGGTGTCTTTTGCTAATGTATAATTTTTGTCGAGTTTTGCAAAGAACATTACTTCATTGGTAAATTTTGAAAGCAATTTATTTTGAAAATTTTGTTTAATAGCATAATAGGAGATAAATTTTTTAAAGCTTTAAATTGTTGATCCAGCCAACTTTGATGACAATCCCAAGGTGGATCATGTTACTTAAATATTCCTCGAAACATTTCTTCTTACAGCAATATACAAGGATTGTATGACAGTTGCAATTTCTGATGGAAAGAAAAAGAATTGTCTCCATATAAGGATAAAGCTCAAATATATTTTTTTTTTCGGTGACCTAAGGAAGTTTCGTGGTCTTGATTTGCTCTTCCCTCCTACTTAAAGCTTATTACATATGCACGATCCTCGCAGTAGATAGCGCTATTTAAGCAATAGCGAAAATCAGACCTGAAAAAAATCAGGCCTGTACGGGATTCGAACCACTGACCTCTGCGATACTAGTGCAGCGCTCTACCAATTGAGCTAACAAGCCAACTGGGAGCAGGCCGTTATGTTGATTCGTAATAAATCCGTGAAAGTGATAAATCAGATATAATGAAATATATGAAGTTCATATGTTTCATTATATCTGACATAACGTTATATCAACATAACGGCCTGCTCCCAGTTGGCTTGTTAGCTCAATTGGTAGAGCGCTGCACTAGTATCGCAGAGGTCAGTGGTTCGAATCCCGTACAGGCCTGATTTTTTTCAGGTCTAATTTTCGCTATTGCTTAAATAGCGCTATCTACTGCGAGGATCGTGCATATGTATCCAATACCGCAATATATGAACTTCATATATTTCATTATATCTTAAAGGTTATTGTTTGTTTCTTTATTCTCTTTAAATAAATCCAGGTTATAATTATCGTTTGAAACCTCTCTTCTTACAACTGGGTAATCGTAGCTTGATAAGAAATAGCACACAAACTGCTGTCATGTTTGTAACTGCAGTTTCGGTAATATAGCTTGGATACTTTTATCATACCTTGGCTCTATAGCTTGGTCACTTCAATTGATAATTTTCATTTTTAGACGCATCGTGTCTGGACTTAAGAGGTTTCGTGGTCTAGACTTGGTTATCTCTGCTCAAAGGCTATTGTTTGTTTCTTTATTCTCTTTAAATAAGTTCGGTTTGTAATTACCGTTTGAAACGTCTCTTTTTTGGTCTGGCTAATATAACTTAGACACTTTTATCGCCCTGGCTTTATAGCTGAGTAACTTCAATTGATGATTTTCACTCTTAGACGCATAACGTCTGGGCTTCGGAGGTTTCATGGTTTTGATTTGTTTATTTCGTCTTAAAGGCTAATGTTTGTTTTTACATTCCGTTTGAAACGTCTCTTTTTTTCATCTGGCCATAATAAATTAGATAACTTTTTCATGGCTTGGTTCTATAACTTAGTCACTAATAACTTAGCTAACTTAGATAACTTTTTCATGGCTTGGTTCTATAACTTAGTCACTAATAACTTAGCTAACTTAGATAACTTAGATAACTTTTTCATTGCTTGGTTCTATAACTTAGTCACTTCTATTGATAGCTTTAATTTCTGACACATCATTTCTGGACTTCGTGTCTCTGATCAAATAAAAAGGTTCTTCGCCGCTCTGCGGTTTGCGTTACAGGCTATGTTTGACTAGAGAGTGTTGATATATTTCATAGCCTTCTGAACAAGTAACAATAAGATGGCAGAAATTTCTTGTAATCAATGGCCAACTCTTCTCCGTAGCGTTGTTTTGACGCGAATTTTCAAATTTAGGTGTCGTCATCGGCCCAGGCGTTTCTTTTTACTGAAGACTTTCTATAACTTTCCATAACTATTCCTTCTTCTTCTTCTTCTTTGGGATGATGATGCAACTCAGCCGGTTTCACTGCAGATTTAACTTTAATCTTTAAGCTAAAAGTGAAAGGGAAGTTGAGAAATTAGTTGAATTTCTTCCTTTTTGAAAGAAAAATTTTAAATATCCTCCCCATTGGTGCTAACGTCAATTTTCCACTGTTGCCTTACTGCTCTTGCTACTTCTAGTGAATGCTTCTCGGAAAAAACCCTTATAACTAAATATCCATTACTGTAAATCGTGTGTTTTACTTAGAGTGTGGCGAGTAAAAGTGGTTATGTGACCTGAAATGAGGATAAACTAAGGAAACACGCAACTCAGCTGCAATTTTTACTATTTTGGGATGCTTTTCTTGAGATAAAGATCGTCATGATTGAGGAGAAAAACCAGGGATTACAAATCAAAGTTAGCTTGAAAATTCTACGTCAAAAAGCTTTTCCTCGTACGCTTATTTGACAAGTTTTCTTCGGTAATACTTGTAACGAATAGTTTTACCTTAGAAAAGCACCCTCCTACGATGTGTCACTTTAGTGGCAGGGATCTTTTGAGACCAGGCACAAAGTTGGCGACCTGCAGCTTTCCCCCCATTTTCCCTCTCAAGAAAAATAGGTATTTGAAAGAGGACCGCTTTCTTACCACACAACGACGATGATGATAACGACGACTATTAGAAAAGCCAATCCTACACTGACTCCAATCACAAACCATTTCCAGCTATTGCTGCTTGGCTCCAGTGGTGTCACTGTTGGGTATTCTTTAGGTGGGCTGGGTTCGAATAAAGTCTCTATATCAGAGATGTTCGCGCCAATGGCTGCTTCGATCTGAGGCTTGTAAGCAAGTAGAACAGCTACCAGTGCACCGCGAGGAAGAACTGAGACATTTCCGATGAAAAGACCAGCAGGCTGCTGTACGTAAAATGCTACCTGGAGAGAGTCTGAAGAGTTGCTAGGGTAACCAGGCAGAAGGTGAATCTGGTCAGCGGTGTAGAGATCAAATAATGGGGAGCGTCTGACAGGAAAAAATTGGTTTAATGATAAAACATCAATGCAGTCGGAACTGAAAGTAAAATCATCGATCTGCAGAAATTTTTCGCGATATTTTTAGTGGACATAACGAGACACAGTAAGTTTTAAAATCAGCATCGAGATCAAAAGCCATTACTCTACCAAGAGTGACAGTTAAGGAAGTTCTGACGGCCATAACATTGCCTTTTAAGTGGAAAGGTGATAAAAAGAAAGGAAATATAGTCTAGAGGATATTATTTGATCTAACACTAGTTGCCAAAGCTTCAAGGAAACAACTGGTAGGAGAAGCACTAAATGAAAAAGGAAAGGCTTACATAAAGCAAGGTACCTTTCCTCTACAAATACAGTGCACCAAAGTCAAAGGAGTATTTATCATGGTTGTCGTCACCTTTTTCGTCGTGTTTCTTTTAGTGCGCATGTTGTCCTGTTTTGACTGCAAAACTCGGTTGTGACGGACGCCAATTTCTCTTTAAAAGACTTGTCCCTATTAAAATCCCACTCAACCTGCCAAAGAAAACGTGACTAAAGTTTAATATCGTTTTGGAAAGAGTCGTGCAGAGAAATGACATTCATCTAAAATAGATTCCGGGTCATTAACCATTGGGAATCTATCTGTTTGGAGAAGTTTGGGCCTAATGATTGTTTGTTAGATTACTCGCAAGAGTCCGCCGTCGTAGTTCACGGAGAATATTATTTAGCGCGCGCACTGTTTTAAAGCTAGAAACCGCTGTACTCACTTGTGTATGACGCCTAGTAAGTGCATGGCTTACATCATGTTTTTCATATAGTTTGTAGCAGACGACGTCACCGCTGAAAACTTGAGGTACCTACCCCACTTGGAATTGCAAACCGAACAGCTTCTTGCTTTTCATTATCTGATGGGACACGTGGTTCAGGTAGGTCTGGTATTGGGGCTGTCTCGTTTTTCTCCAAACCTGAGTAAATATTAAGTTTGTAAGAAAAATTGAATAATCACATAAAACAGACTTACGATTTTTTTTCATCATTTAGGGCAGTTAACGAATTTTGCATAAAATATTTCTTCTAGATTAAATCTCCCAACTTTCTTTTACGGATGCCACTATTTGATCAGCTACAATACTCGTATTTATTCCGTTGTAGGCGGTGAGGAGTGAGTGGCTCAATAAGGTAAGGGAACAGCCATTATTAATCAACGAGGGAAGGGGGGAGGGGGGGACTTTGGTTGAATCTTTACAAAATTTACCTGATCCTCTTATACGGCTCTGTAATAGCAGAATCGTTATAATCAGCCACCACCACATTGCATCTGCTAGTTGCTATCCCTTTTTCAATTGCCACCCGCGCATGAGCAAGATCAGAATAAGTCTGATCACATGTCTTGAGTTGTAATTGTTTCGTTTCATTTATAAGATCTATGTTCTTATCAGCATTCTTGATTTATGTGTTCAAGTGTACCCTAGTTCGTATTAGTTTACATAGGATGGTCTCAATGGGGTTAACAGTCAACTGTCAAATGGCCACGATATTAACCGTCAACCGCCAAAAACCCAGTGTTTTTACCGTCGACCGTCATATAAGCGAGCCAATGTGAAACGTCAAATGTCTCAGATATCTTTAATTAAGACTAAACAATTGTTTTAATTGGGGTTAAGTTCTTTTGTTTATAAATAAAAGTTTTGATATGTCACAAAAATACATTCGT